AAACTGACAGGCCAGAACAGAGGGACACAGTGTGAATTTTTCCCTTTGCATCATTCCAGCAGCTACTTGAATTTCAGTTTTATAAAATCAGCCATTCGGAGAGAGGCCCCAAACCCAGGCTGGTCTGCAGTGTCCCATGTGTATAGGCACTGGGATTCCTTTTGGAAGCTGGGGTGTTGACACACAGGGTGTTTTCACTGTTTAGGAGAACTGGCATCTTGAAGTGCTTCTGAGGTTTTTACTCCCATGCCAAAAATACTGCTCTTTAGAAATTAATGACTTTGGACAATGGCCGAAATTCACAGGTGTGGCGAGTGTTGAAGCTTCCTTCGGCGAAAGAAGGGAGAATGGTTGTGCAAGTGCCATGGCAGGTGTCCCGCAGGACATTCTGTTCCTTGGCACCTTTCATCTTAGCTAGGATAACCTTCACTTGAAGCCCTAAGTATTTTTGGTCTCGAACTCGTTTGCTCTGCAGTGTGAGCTGACCCTCTGCAAATGCTTCCTCTGGTTGGAGGTATAGTTTATGACCAGCAGAGTAACAGATTATCTGCACATTACTCCCAGGGGCCATAGCTTTCCCATCCCACATCTAGCGTGGCTGTGGCACTTTTCTGCCCCTCTTCCACCCTCAGTGGGATCCCTTTCTAGCTGCCAGCATACCCCGTGAACTGTGACTGTATTCTCATTCCACAGAGGTGGATACCACTCAGCACTGCTTTCCGAATATCTGTTTGTGTCTGGCCCGATACTGTGGGCTCCCCACACATTACCCAGTCCTCCCAAGCATCTTTGCAGGTGGTTTTTGTCCACATTGTGAAAACAAGAAAATAGGAACTCATAGAAGTTAAGTCACTTGTCCACAGCCTCACCGCTATTGTCACAGTTGGGACTTTGGCTCAGCTCTTTCTGCTTGGCTACCTCCATACCTCCAGAAGCAGGAGGCAGAGACTGGTTTCCCACTCCAGTTTACCCTGGCACACAGTAGGGGTTCCATGCACATTGGATCGCTTGGTCAGTTGTACTTGATCCTGAAGATTTGCTGCTTTTATGTCAGTGACTCTGGGATTTCACCTTTGTCTGAATAATCCGAACATCTGTCTGCGGGCTTTGTTTGCCATAAGACAGTTTGGGGAGTGGACTAAAGGATGTATGGGTCAGCCAGGTCAGCGCAGGGACACTGTAGCTCTTGTGGGGGCCTCTGCTCTGCTTTGATGATCATCTCCAAAGCTGAGGATGTGGAGAAGAATGCTTCCCAGCCTCAGCAAAGACTGAAGCCAGAAAGTACCCACCACGAGTGACCCTGGAATCCCATCCCCCCGCAGCCTGCATGTGCCCAGCTGTCTTGAGAGTGGAATGAGAGATGGGTCAGATTTACCTACCCGCTGAGGTGGGCAAGGAGAGTAGGGATGAGCAAGTAAGTAAAAGGAGCTCACATGCTTTGTAATGGCCTGGATTGGGTACTAAGAATCCAGTGGACTGGACCAAAACCTTTCTCTGATCACTGTACCTATTCTCTGTCTGGCTTTTGTTTTAGTTTGGTGAAATGTCTCTGCCAATAAGATCGGATTAATCTTCCTGCAATATGGGTTTGATTGGATCACAGGCTCCAACATCTACCCGAATTTTCAGTTCTCAAAGCTACATTTAAAGAGTAAAGGTCTTTGTAATGTTTGCCTGTTGATAACTGTATCCTCACATTTTACTCACAAGTGACAAAGGACTAGTTGGTTTATGGAAGTAATTTTTAGAGACAGAGGCGAGAATTCAGATGAAGTCCTGCAGTAGTTGGGTTAGGTGTATAAACACCGACCCACAGTGAAGGTGGGGCCTAACTCAATGGTAAGCGCTTGTCATCCTGTTCCCTAGGGGGCTGAGGTAAGAGGGTCTCAAGTTCAAAGCCAACCTGGGCTGCACAGTGAGGCACCATCTCAAAATGAAATTGAGGCTCCTGAGAAGCACAGAGAAGAATACAGCATTTGGAGGGAAGAGTGATCTCAGAGGTCACCCTCTTTGTCCTCCTTGGGCCAGTATGGGGTGTGTGTACAGAGGGGGAGGGAGATGTTGCCGCTGCAGCAGGGTGGGCAGTCAGTGAAGTTTGAACAGAGGTTTGTTCCCAGACTTCAAAACCTCATGTATGTAATTGGCAGGCGGGTTAGGAGGAGAGTAATGGTGTTGGAGACTTGGCTTAGATGATTTCCCCATATTCTCTTGGGAGGAGAAAAGTGTTATGGTACGGACCAGCTGCCAGAAGTAGGTGAAAGGGACCTTAATTTAAGCTTTCTTCCCAGGAAAGATCTCTTCCCAAGGGAAGTAAGAGATTGAGAAAGCCCTGTAAGGAGCTGGGTGCCCTAGGTTTTCGGGGGTGGTAGATAGCATGTGTCTCTTGGAGACACACATGTCACCCACAAATTTCACATAGCCATGATCTCACTGCTTCTTGGGTATCGGGGGACATGTTTTTGTACCAACCCCTAGTGAAGAACACTGGCACCTTACAAAATTCCTCAACAGACCAGGGATTCTGACCCTTTCTGAAACAAGAGTCACATTTCCCTTTCCAGGTTCCATCGGGCTTGCAGTTTATGTTTTGAGTCCTTGTCACTGGCCGCTTCATAAATACGGTTGTTATTTAAGTGAAACTGTCAGTTCTGTGAGAATCTGGTCCATGGCTGATACTTGTGTGTTTCTATCACAGCTGTCTTAGGCCCAGAGTCAATGCCAGGACACCTACCGTGGTCATAGATTACACAGTGTCAGAGATGGAAAGGATCGGGGAAATCAGGGCATCCAGTACTCTGACTTTATAGGTGGCACCACTCCCCAAACTCACTTTGGAGGCTTGTGTTTCCCACTAGAAAGAGAGAATTTTTAAAATGTTAAGCCCCAGTAGAACTGACCAGTTCGAAACCTTGAGAGGCTTTCTTCAAACAAGCAGGATGTTTGGCTTTAGACCGGTAGCTGAGTAATAACACCAGCGAGAATGCTAACTAGATGCCAGATCCCCAGCCCTCCATCCAGGTGACAGACCTGGTACCATCACCATTCTCCAGGGCAGAGAGGGCCTAGAGGCGGGACACTGCTCAGGTTGAGTAGCTCCTGCAGTGGCCAAGAGAGGACTGGGGTCCACTTGAGTCAGATGCCCAAGCTTGTGGCCTTGTCTACCCCATGGACCCTCTAAGGTGGGATCTGAGTCCTCTCACTCAGTGCCCAGAGGAGGCTTTGCAGCATCTCGCAGTGCCCCTCCTTGTCCTAGGGAAATTATACAATTAATTTTTATGAACTTTAATTCCCTTATTAGACAGGGAGTGACGGAGAAGATGAGGAAAAAAAAAAAAAGCAGACACAGTGATAGGGATTGCCTTTCCAGAAAGGTCAGTTGGTAATCTCTGCCCTGGATTGGAGAGCATTTGGGCTGAGTGAAAGGAGCAAGTGTCCCCTGGCTTTGCTCCAGGAACTGTGGCTATACATAGCACTCTTGCTGCTTCCTGTGGTCCCTCCTCCCTGTCCAGAGCTCACCTGTCACTCGGGTCAAGAAGCCTCAGGATTGATGGTTTCCAAGGCAGATCTGATCTGTCACGCACCTGAGAAGAATGACCGGGGCTCCCAGAGGGCTGCCCAGTGCCCTGGGTCTTCCCGGCAGGCTGAGTCTTTCCATTGAGCTTTATATCTAAATAACATTCCTGTGAGTTTTCTAAAAGGTTAGTCCTGGGTCATTGGCACTTAAACTACTTGTTTTGGTAGATCCTTCCTGAGAAGGCTAATTATATATTTGATATCCTTCTCTTTTTATGCCTGAAGGATGAGGATAAGTACCCTGTGGTTTATTAACTGTCACTTTAAACCTTTTCAAATTGCCTTGTGACAAAACAGAGTTTTACGTCCTTTTATCCAGCTTTGACGGATGAGACAGCTTCTCTGGTTAAAATACACCAGGATAAATAAAATCCTCTGATTTGTGTGGGAGGATGGGTTTGCATTTGAAGTCATGGGTTCAAGTCTGCTGTTCCTACGAAAGGGGACCTAACCCATTCATCTTTCCATCTGCTTCCTTTTTCCCTTTTGACAGATGGGGCTTGGTGCTTTATAGGCACCTGGTAATTACTGAATGAGTGAAAGAAGGCATTACTCAAGGGAGGTTGATCTCTCTAGTTTTTTCCCCCCAGTGCTAGTGGTGGAGCCCAGGACCTCTGCCTTTGAATTGTACCTTAGCCACCTCTTCACAGATTTTGGTACCAAACTCTGAAGCAATAATCTGTTTTGAATCTAACTGATTCTTAGAGGAAAGAGCCTGTGTCCTTACCATCACAGCATCCCAAATCTCTTTTCTCCCGCAAGGCCCCTTTGTTTTACCTTTAATTTTTCAGTAAATTTTCAGGAGTACTGGTTGTTTCTTTTATCTGAAATGCTTGGGACCAGAAATTTTTCAGATTTCGGGTTCTTTGGGTTTGGGAATATCTAAATGTACACAATGAATTATCCAGTGGTGGAACCCAAGTCAAAACAGGAAATTCATTTATGTTTCATATATACCTCAAAACACATAGCCTGTACGTAATTTTATACACTTTTAGTGCAGCTGCTTTCAACTGCAGCTCCTCACCTGAGTTCACATATAGAATTTTCCACCTGCAGTGCTGTAGCAGTGCTCAGATGTCACATTCTAGACTGTTTTGGGTTTAAATTTTTTGGGTTAGGAATGCTCAACCTGTTATGGAAAATAAATGTCATTAGGGAATTTTGTCATTTGTTTTTCCTTTTCTTTTTGATTAGGGGACTTTAGTAGTTGCTTTGCAAGCCTTGTTGTGCCAGTGTCAACCACACCCAACTCATATCCGTCCATGGCTTGGGAACCAGTGTGCCAGGCAGGTGGTGTACATAACTCAGCAGTTAATCTCTATAATTGGCACTTACCAAAGCCTAGCTAGGAGCAGTTTTACTATGTGAAATAGTAAAATTTGTGCTGACGCTTTAAACTCTTCCTTTGTTTTCATTCACTGCAGTTTGCAGGGACACTGTCAGACGGCCTGGGGAAGACGATGGACAATCGCCATCAGTCAGAGCGGGAGTACATCAGATACCATGCAGCGACAAGTGGGGAGCACCTGGTGGCCGGCATCCACGGCCTGGCTCACGGTGAGTCCCGTGTGGTGTCCCTGGGCTGAAGGAAGTGGCTCTCCTGCTACTGTTCCTTGCAGGGCCCCTGCCCCCCCATGGAGGGAAGGAGACAAAAGCAAGCTGACAGCAGTAGGGCCCCGGGCCAATGTCCCAGCACCCCCGACAGCCCCCCAAGTTCTCACTGGATTCTCCTCGCGCAGGAAATGTGACAGTCTGCCAGGTGCACTGTCTGTTTTCAGACTGCTGTACACACTGCGGATCCTTCCCCTCTGGCTTCCCTTTCTGAGCTGTAATCAACCCAGTCCCTCTAGAATCTAGAACTGCTGCTTCAAGATTTGGTTTCTGCTTACTGATCTTTTCTTCCAAGGAAATGGAAATGTGAAGCTGGCTGCTGGGTTTGTGGCCCAGATGTTTTGAGTCCTGTATAAATACACATTTACCAGGATGACATATACATGTGCCCAAAAGCTGGAGCGATGGCACAAACGTGTTGTCTCAGAATTGGCTTGAATTCTGACTTTTAATTCTTAAATTCTGACTCATTTGTCTTCTGCGTTTTTCTCAGCAGCTTCCTAGCATGGCATTTAAAACCCTTGGAAACATAACCGTGGCCATGTTTTCCAGTCAGTATCCACCAGCCACACAGAGCCATGCGCTGTGCCTTGCACACGTGAAGTCCTGGCTCACTCAGTCCTCTGCCCTGTCTGCTTGCCTGTCAGAGTCCTACCCAACTCAGGTGACATTCACAAGCTCCTTTCTCCTAACCAGAGTTAGTGACAGAGCGCACATTGCAGTCGGGGCTGGAGGTGTGTCGAGTTGTGTGTGTCCTGCTGAGAGTGGAAACACCATTTTGAATTCACCCTTAAACTTGCCTGCTTCACATGGCCCCTGACACTTGCCTGGTACCCAGTAATGGTCACCACTGGAACCCTTTGGGACAGGTCCTGGGGCTCATCTAAAGCTGTCAGAGTCATGGTCAGTCTTGATGATCTGCATTTAGGGAAAGTGGAAGGTCTCGCTCTCTCTCTCTCTCTCTCTCTCTCTCTCTCTCTCTCTCTCTCTCTCTCCTCTCTGGAATCAAGCTTAGGACCTTGAACTTGATGGGTAGCCACACCCCTGGTGAGGAAGGAATATAAATGATGAAGTCATTTTTCTCTTTGTCCTTGGGATGCAGTGTTTATACAGAGCTTTTGTGCATCAGCTTTCCCTGTGGCGAGGTTCAGATCAGAAAGCCTTTGCTTTTCCTAGAGTGCTCAGCTATAAAGGGAGCAGCTCCCAAGGAAGCATCAGGCTAGAAGTAAAACTTAGAAGACAGCAATCTGTTTATAAACTTTTAGAAGTTAGCTTTTGGATAATCATTTGGGATTAAAGGTCCAGTTATTCTTTACCAACTATAATGGCTGTGCAGTGACTGTTAGAAGTCTGTGCTAACACGTACGAGGCGCTTTGCCTCCTTATCACATCCTTGGGCTGCAGAGAGAACATGGCTGTCCTCCCTTTGTAGCTGAACTCACCCCTGTGCTGAGAAAGTGGGTGATTTGTTTAAGGCTGCAGAATCACTTTCAACCCAGGGTCTTTCCAAGAATATGCACAGCCCCACCAGGAGCCAGTCAGGCCAGCTGGGGACCCGGGACCAGTGGCTATGAAGAGTCCTCTTTGAGCTCTGGCTTATATGAAAACCGTAGCCTGCAATGAGATTCTTCTTTAGGATGAAAAGACCTTTGAAAGATAACAAAGTCAGGTGTGATGGCACATGCCTGTAATCTTAGTGCTCTGGGAGGCTGAGGCAGGAGGAACACACAGTTAAGTACAGTCTGAGCAACTTAGCAACTCAGTGAGACTTGGTCTCAAAATCAAAAGGGCTGGGGATATAGCTCACTGTGAAAGCCATGGTTCAGTACTCAGTCCTGCAAAACAGACAAATAAACAACAGAATTCATTTAATCTCCTTGGTGTAGAACTGGGAGTTGTGCTTGCTTGGGGTATTCATCTCGCAGGTCGCAGTCTGGACTCCTGGGCTATGCATGCTCTGCTGAGAACCTTGTTCCGAAGGACTGGGAAAGGGACATTGCCTCACTGGAGCCAGTGAACCCAGAATCCGGAAGAAGCGTTGCGAATTGTTAGTACTTTCTCACCCAAGGAGTTTCCTCTACCAATTTGTCTCACTAGAGCTGAAGAGCCCAGAGAGCTTCCTCACACCCCCACTGTCAGAGGGTAAACATCCTGTGAGTGTCCCTGGCACAAGTCCTGGAAATGCTCCCCGGACAGGGCCAGCCTCTTCCTGAAATGTCTGTGACCTTCCAGCCTTTGCCAGTCTGGCCGCTTCTCAGGCTGTTTCATAGCCATTCCTGTCAGCTTTCACAATGTTTGGAATGTCTTTGTCTTTTGGGTGTAGGCTGGTCTTTTAAACTCACCCTTGAGGGTTCTAGCTAGCTCTGGCAGCTTTTTGGGGTGCCCTTCGTGAAGCCTTCGTCATTTACTGCACATGGCCATATTTGATCTCTGCAAAGCATGCATAGGTTTTTACCTATTTCAAACATTTTTGTGGTAGTGTCTGGTCATGCAGTGTTCTTGGAAAACTGAAAACATGTTCCTAGCCATCTCCCTGACTTATATTTTCTAGGAGCCCAACTTCTTCACACTTCCCCCAAAGGCCTGATTTTCTGGTCTCCTGCTGATTTAATACTACTGTCTGTGACCTCTCAGTGGCCCCTTTACCACTCATGCTTGGGAATTGAAAACTGGCTGCTTTTAACTTCCTAGCTTTTTCTCTCATGTTTAAAAGTGGAACACACTTTACTTCTGACTAACATGTAATATGTGTCCTCAGACTGGACTAATGCGTAAATCTTATGGGTCCCTGCCTGTCACCTGTCTAGCACAGAGTTTAAAAGAGTTTCCTTAAATTATCATTTCAGGTACATGAAACTGGGATGGGGGTGGCTTAATTGAAATGTTTTTGCTTTTGTCTGGCCAGGTTGCAATTGCCTTATTTTTGCTTTGTGGCTAGGTATCATCGGTGGATTGACCAGTGTTATAACATCAACAGTGGAAGGTGTGAAAACAGAAGGGGGCGTCAGCGGTTTCATATCCGGCCTTGGGAAAGGGCTTGTTGGCACTGTAACAAAGCCAGTGGCAGGTGCCCTGGATTTTGCATCAGAAACAGCACAGGCTGTAAGAGACACAGCCACACTCAGTGGCCCCAGGTCAGTAGTCATAGGGGAGTGGGTTTGTGATTTCCAGCCTGCTGGTCAGCTGTCTCTCCTAATTCCTGTTGATGTGTTTAATCATGTATTTTCTGCTTTAGTTTTGTGATTTTTAATTTGAGTACTTGTAACTGAAATTTCTGACTTGCCTAATATAAATACATGAAAACAAAACACAAAAACCTATTTTTAATACAGAAAGACAGACAATATTGGGAATTTTTCATTAGAGAGATCAGAATTTGGATTAGATCATTACAGGGTTACCTTGTTCACCAAACTAAATGGGCCCCCTCTTGTGCCCATGAAGGAAACCATCAGATTGTAGACTTCAAGGGTGTTACTTCTAGACTCTGTGTGGATTCTACAATCCGCACAGTTGCTGTTTATCACATGGGTTGTTACTTCTTAGTTTTCTTACCTCTTGAAATTGCAGCCAGTCTCCTAACATCATAAAACAACAACAACAAACTGACCCTGACGTCCCTCACCGGCAACATGGCAGTGCTTCTGCTGTGCCGGGCTATCTTGTACCAGCTGACACTAGAAATCAGAGGGGGTCCATTTGGCTCCAAACCCCACAGAACCCAACCACATTAACTTAGCTATTCATTTTAGTGGTCTATTTCAGCCTCCCTTCTCCAGAGTAACTAATTGGGGATTCTTATCAACAAAGGGTATAATGAATGTTAGTGTTTCCAGCCAAGCTGGACTCGACTTAAGCCCAGAAGAATTTTCCTGTTGCCTGGATAATAGATGCTCTCGGAGTGAACTAGAATGCCCTTTCAGAATGCATAGGGCCTGGGCCATGTCTGTACCCTGTAGCTCCCCCACATGGGACTTGAAGTGAAATCATCTCCATTCAAAATGGATCTATTTGTCTGTCACCAGGAAACCTGGCTGGTGACACATTACTGCAGGAGGGGAAATGCTTAAGATTGTAGACTGGGGCCATGCACTGCGTTCTGCCAGAATGTCTTCCATCTGGAAGCAGCTGGTTTTTTTTTTTTTTTTTTA